ACTACAGCCCTCAGGGAGCTTCCTCCATGTGAGCCGTGCCGGGTGCTCCCCAGTGGTAACAACACCCCCTTCCATGACCTAATGTGTCACTGACATTACACAAAGATGACACTGAGACGTTAATAGCTCTAACTGGCCAGTGCCCAGGTTTGAGATCTCAGACAAGGCTCAGAGTGAAGCAACTCACTCAATTTTTTTAAAATATCACAAGTAAACCAAAATAAATGGTACTAGGTCAAGAAAACCAAAGATAGCATTATCAAGTGATGGAGAGTTACTGCAATTCATAAGATGCTGACTGAAATTAAGCAACTGTGCAGCTACCAAATACAGTACAGAAGTGTGTCAAGGGCTGGATGGTGAGGCCAAAAACTATAATGGGGGCACTGGGAGGCACTATCATGAAAGGAAAAACCTAGCTAAGGGAAACATTAACTCTCTCAACAGAGAGTCAGGGAAGATGAAGCACAATTCAGTGAGACAAAATAAATTGTTACAGGTCATGGAGCACGTTTGTGGAAAAGAAAGGAACCCATAAATATTAGCTCTCTATTTTCTGCCTAGCTGCTGAATAACAGATCTATTTTAAGACACACATTAAAAAGGAAAAAAAAAGGGGGGGAAAAAAGGGGGTCGGAATATGGAGGGAATGTTTGAAATAAGTTTTAAAAGAATGCCAGTACACTGAAAAAGATCCCAAGAAAATATTTTCTAACTTATCCATGTGGATTCAGTGTGCAGTTTTAATTTTCAGTATTTAGGCATTTAAGACACTAAATTTAAAGTAAGTGCTGTAGACACTGCTTTCAGAAAGGTACTTTGGTAATTTCACTCATTATTACACTGATATTACAGACAATAGATGTGTCAAATCCAAAGCAATACCTACAGGCTGGTACACCTGTTTGGAATATTTCTCTTTGCCCTCTTAATCAAATAAATATCATTTCATGGCTACAGTGTCAGAGCTTTAAAAACTTGTTTGTAAAAGAGCAAAGGGAAAAAAAAACCTACTAGAAAGCTCAAAAGTTTTGCAAATGACCCAGAGTTAATTAGAAAAGTCTGCACCCTGGCTAGTTCCCCTTCTCACGTGTCAGCTCTCATTAAATCAAAAAATTCTCCTTTCAAAGTTAACAAACACCATGGTTAACAAAACTGTTAAACTGGGATCAAGTGGGCACATTCCTAGGTTTATATATGATGTCATGCTAAGCAGCCCACAGCTGAACTTGCAAGTAGTATGAATGATTTTTCAATATATTAAGTATCTGATCTAATGCTAATTTTCTCTCTATAGGCTAACTGTGCTGGGAACAGGTGGCCCTGCTTTCAATTACGGAGGGCTAACATGCCAGTGTGAGGCCTGGATTAGTTCACCTTCTCACAGGGAATTTGCCTCGGTTGGGAATGGATTTATTATGGCTTCACACATGGAACGGAGCTCATGTCAGCTGAGGGCAGTGATACATCATATGATTCAAATTAACCTGCTGTGGACTGTTCCGCAGGGCTGATATTGTGTATTAAAATGACGACATTTTTAAAACAGCTTGAAAGAAACCAGGATTGCTGAAGTGCAATGGTTCCAATTTGTTCCAACTAATCTATCACCTGCTGGAGATATTATTCTAGTTGGGTTTCTGGTAGCTGCTATTTTCCAGGTTTCTCCACACCAGTGACCTTGGTAATGGATACAACTGTTGCCTCTGCAAACAGTGGGGGGAAAAAGGGAGAGAGTGCCATGGTGCGGTTTTGATCCCTAGATCCACTGCCATGCCCCTTGTGGTGCCCAAACCATGCGTGGAGGGACTGGCAGGAAAGAGCGACCTCCCCCAGTCGCCAGTTATCACTTTATCTTTCAGTGGGATATGATGTTTCTCAGTTTGTTTGGATAGTTTCTGCTGCAGAAATTATTTAAAAAGGACCTCAGTTATTTCACATCTCACCTAACACCTCCCCAAGAAACTGCTGGGGGAAGAGGACTTTGGTATAAACCACCTATATTTTGTGTGTATAAGTATTTTGAGGCAATTTATAAGAAGCTGTACTTCATAAACACATTTTATATCATTTGCATGCAGAAAAACTACATCAAATGGACAGCTTTTATAGCTAAGAAAGGTGATTAAAAAATAATCCAGAGAAAGGACTAGAAACTAAAGAGACTAATTTTATAAAAGCTATTAAAATATGATGGTCATATTTGTTTCTTATCTAATGAATTATGTCTAATGCTGATGCAATAAACAGTTTGCTATGTATTAGGCAAGAATTACAGGTACAATCCAGTAACAGACTGAATATAAAAGTCACATAAACTGATGTAAATGGAATTTTAAACTTTTTAAATAATTAGTTTCTGTAAAAAGAGAAAAAATAGTATTTTAATACATTGTGGGGTTAAAGCTGAGGTCTGTTCCCACAGGCCTGATGATGAATGCTTATTTCTCCTAGGATCCTATTACCTTAAATCTGGAAGAAACATAATTTTTCTTTAGTTGCCAAAAATGTACAAAATAATCAACTCATGTGGCAAGAAGTGCATTAGTGTATCCTGTTATTCTCATTTAATTAGTGGTTTCCAAGTTTAGCTACTTGCTGCAGTTTTTTGATCTCCGAGCTAATACAGACTGACAACCTGGTTTCCTGTGAGGCGAAACCATATGATTTTTCTGTGGAACACTATCTACTTATCTGATTCAGCTAACAAACTATTTGCAAGGAGTACTGGTTTTATCTAGCACAGCAAACACTGGGAACCACTTGCAGATTTTTTTCTGTTAACTGCTTGATAACAGTTTAGTTATAAAACATAGGCATGTTTGATTGCTATATTGAAATTTAACCTCAACACATCAACAATGTATTTTGAAAGAAAAATGGCATTGCAATTAAATCACTGAACTCTGAACACTTATAGCCTACACAGAAAACTGTACAGTTAGTTATCCCAACCGCTACACCAGACTTTTTATCTGCATAGGCACAGCTTTCAAAACATGTGCTGACTTTTCAGAACAGCTGATCAGCTGTACCAACAGGTAGCACCTACCAGTACATCCAGTGTATTTCAGCCATTTACTTACTGCAGTTATAAAAAATATGTACACAAATGAATATGAAAATAGACACTATGTAATTAGAAAATTAGTCACTTAGTAGCTGCATTTTTTGCCAAATATTCCCCAAAAAAGAACAACCTTTAAGGCCTGCAACATAACTATACTCCAGCAGTGCTTTTATTTATTCAATTCACTAGCTATCTCCCGTCACAAATTATTTTTTTCTCTGCAAGAGCTCTTGAGAGTTTTGCTGAGGTTCTTGTCCTCAATGAACAAGTACCAGCTGAATTAGGATCTGGTGGTGTAACACTTTCTCCAGGCTTGCTGACGGCCAAGCTACCTCACCCTGGAAGAAGCTGTGGTTAGGGAACTTCTTGTCCCCCAGGAGAGTTAGTAACTCGTTTTCCAGTAGCCTGCTGGGGAGCTGTCAAGCTCTCCTAACTCTTTGCATGTGCTGTTCTGATGCAATCACATGCAGAATGAGCCTTCCATTAGTCATCCAATGAAACTTCCCTACCCCGAGGAAGGCTTCTTGGTAAAGGTTAGTTTATTGAAGGGGATCTCATAGTGGTAACTGCTCTGCAAGGGAATGCAGAGCTGTTTTTGTTATATTACACTGGCAAGACACTTCATTAAAATTCAGAGTAATTACTGTTGAGTCATGTGTAATGATAGTTCCAATTAGTAGCAAAAAGACGATAATAAATGCCTTTTGGCTAAGAATAGATCCCAAAAGAAATCTCAGAAGTTTTAAATGTTTTGTGAGAATAAACAGATTGAAAGCTATGATGCATTAATTTGGTTTTCAGTTCCCTATTTAGCCAAACACCACGGAGGGGAGAGATTTAACACTGAATGGTTTAGATTGGGGTGGACACTTGCATTGCTTGTGAATATATACTTTGCAAGCTGGTACCACCTTCCATGTTTGCTAGTTTAGTTAGAAGTCTGTCCTGCTGGCAGGACAGCATCAGGGAAACACCTTCAGGTGTGGAATAAATTAAATATAAAGGCTGTGCCAAGAAACTGCAGTGAAAACCTTGAGAAAAGGGGAATGCACAGATGAAGGGTCTGAGACTATGGAAATCTGCCAAATTTGGGAAAAGAGGACACAAAAGAACTGGAGGGAGAAGGATAAAAGAAAACCAATCTGGCAGCAGTGACGAAAAGGCCCCTGATAGTAGGTGTCTTTACCCCTTTTGTGCTGGTCCTGATTAAAAAGAAAATCTACCATTACTATCAATTAGTCCTTTTTTTCAAATGGCAGCAGATGGAGAACATGCAGTAGGTCTGAAAGTTCAAAGGCCTGTTAATAAAGCCAAACAGCAATCCATATAACAAAAGCTTTGCATTGTCAGGTGGTTTTGAAAAATCTTCTCTTAAAATAATGCCTTTAAGACAGCGCAGAAAACCAAAAGAGGGGGCAAAGATATGGTTGTTCATATACTTTATTCTTTCCTTGAGACTCCTGCCTGTGTACAAAACATGGTTTTTCAAACTACTTAACCACAGTATTTATAGTTATGGGGCAAATTCACTGGTTGTTCAATTTATATTCACAAGTGATCACGGCGTCACCCACAGACAATAGAAAATGTGTTTCCAACATCAAATTCTATATTTAAGTACCTGGGCAAATTATATTATTTATTTTAAATTGATAACCGTAATATAATGAGAAAACCTTTAACATCCCTGTGCCTCAGTTGCACTACACAACTTCTCTGGGCAACCTGGTTCCAACTCCTCACCAACCTGAAAGTAAAGAATTACTTCCTAACACCTAATCTAAACCTGCCCTCTTGCAGTTTAAAACCATTGCCCTTGGCCTGTATAAAAAGGTCCCTCTCCCTCCTTTATATACTTATATGTGTGTCTATGTGTGCAAATCTACAAACAGATTATATTAGAAAAGAAAGATTAAAGTGCAATGCTTACCTGGTCCATTAAGGAAGTCTTTAATTTGCACAGTGATAAGAGGAGGTGGAATACCACTTCTAGCATCTACCTCTCCTGCTACTGTCTGCAACCAAATCTTGCAATAATCCAGAGCTTCTGGTAGAGTCTTCCCAGGATCTACAGATGATAATTATCACAGCCATTAATGCTATTTCAGGAATGTGATACATAACAAAATACTACACACAAAATTGGTTAAACAAAATTTAAAAGTTTAAAATGTAATATGGTATATACTGTACCTAATACGACTGGTATACATAGCATTTGTGCCTAGAGACACGTGTATATGTAGAATAATGCATGCACACATGGGCAAGAGCTCAGAGCTCTGATTACACAAAATTTAGAAAACCTGCAAAAATATGAGTAAAATACATCAGTTACCCCAAGATGACTTAAATTGGAAACAATTTTACCTTTAGTTAATGATTAATTATTGACACTTTAATGCAGTCCTTACAAAAGAATCTGTGCTCAAAATCTGCTACTTCTAGATCGTATTGTCATTGCCAGGTAGAGAAAGAAGATAATAATGGAAAAGTAAATTAAAAGGTGAAAAGACCAGAATGCTATGAGATCTTAGGAACAGAGCATGACAACAGTGCAGTTATGTAATTTCCTTTGGAGTTTCATTCAGTAGCTAATCAGTAGCTATTCTTGCATGTATGCAGGAACTTTTACAATTGTACATTAAAATTAAATCTGAGTGCTATTCTTGTCTTCATTTTCCAAGTATTAAAAATGGCAAAAGCAGTAGTGTAAAAAGGCTTTTTATTCTTTAGGGACACATGACCTTCATTATAAGAGTACTCAATTCTGGCACAATAGGCCTTAAATTCTAAATAATCAATCATTCTTTATTATCAAGACTGCTATGTTAATTTTTGAATAATTGTCTCATCTTTAACAACTTAAGGAGATTTTCTGGATGCTGTTCTCTCCTTTTTTCAGTCAATTAAAACCTGCTATAATTGCTTTGAGATTTACTAAATGAATTTCTTTCAAGAACAGTATTTACATACTCACTGTTATAGTCAACATATGGTATCGTGGTATCACGGTCATATGTGAATTAGGTATATAAAGTCAGCTTTGGAATTTGTGTTTCTTGACCTCATCATGTGATTCATATAAAACTTGGCACATATGAACCCTTATGTGATTTCAAAGAACCTACTGAAACCAATTGATCATGACTTTAGATCTATATGGAAAAGATCAAAAGTTAGCACATTCTTCTGTTTTTATTTGATCAATTTTCAGGCAATGACTTTACAGCAGTGTTTGTACTGTATGGCATATACATTACAGCCTTTCCTTCCCTTTATTCCTGCTATATACATTTATAAAGTCAGCTCTCAACAGTTATTTAAGAGCTGTCACTGCATACAACAGATTTGTATATTTTCTATAAGAATTTCTACATTTCTATGGTTCTTAAACCCTTTCCTTTAATTAAAATAGCCAGAATGATGTGGCATACTCCCTTTTCTATAGTAAGTGCTTTAGGGAATATGTTGTGTCTAGCATTTGTCCAGTATGCTGAAAATAATAATACTAACAACAACATCATCCCCTTTACCACCAAAGCACGTTTTTTTCCAAAACACAGATTTGTACCTGTGCTAAACACAGTTTTTATCTGACTTGGATATATAAAATAATATCTTGTTTTGTGCTAATAGATCATCATAAAGAACGAACATTCTGAAGTTTTTTAGAATATATAGTGTAAAGCATTGTCAAAATTACTGAATATTGTTCAGTGAACACCAGTGAATCAATTCGATTGATATCTAAGCTACTGTTCCTTCAGAACTAATAATATAAACATTTGGGAGCACCAATATGGAGCAAAATGTTGCAATATTTTATTATTTTGTCTCATTTCTGAAAGACATCATCCCATACTGTATACAGCAATCTATACCATCCACTGGCTTTTCAGAAAATCCACTAAATTTAGTCAAAGCTTTCTTTTGAATAATGCATTTACAGGTAGTCTTATTATCCTAAGATGTGTTTATGTTATAAAATACCTAATAATTATTTGAAAGTTGTAGTGCTTTAAAGATGAAAATATCTCAGATGACAAGAATTTACATTGCAGAAAATCCTTGCATGACCTAATACATTAACTGTATAAACACTGCCCTCAGGGCACTGGGAAATGCAGCATGTAAGCACAGGCAAAAAAATAAAGGAACCATGGGACTCTCAGGAGATTGTTTTGCTCAGTCATGCCTCCAAGGAGAGCAGCGCTGTCGCCTCTTCATTACCTGGGGCACTGCAGGACTGAGATAGGTGAATAATGATAAGGACTCTGAAATTTACATTTCAGGAACAAAACATGAAGAAATGCACAAAATTAGCTTGAGCCCGACAAAAAAAATTTACTTTTAACCCAGCACTGGTCTTACTGAGTTCAAGCATTTTCTTTTTTAAGTTCAAGTGAAACTGAGCTAATTCTGGAAGCAGGAGTGTTGCATTGACACAATTTTGCATTGGAGGTAATAATCTCAAAGGGCCACACAAAGAACTAGTTTGAGTGCTTCCAAGACCATAGCATGTGATTTAGTTGGAATCTGGGTAACCGACTTGACTGTACAGCCAAATATGCCAGAAACTGATCAATAAATAAGGCTTTACATAATGACAAGAAAGCTAAAACCCAGAGGTTTCAAAACTGACTATGATTCTATATATCAAAAATTTGAGGTGAGTTCCAAACAAAATGTATCTGGGTAAGACAAACATATTTACATCAAAGTTCAAACGACTGAAATATGTGTATATCTTGATTAAAATACCTTATAAGGTAGAAAACAGGATCAAGGATCAGGAAAGGAACAAAACAATATCAGTCAATCAATCCTTATGCCAAGGGCAGAGGAAACATCAGAGAAGCAATCGAATGAAAACAAAGAAATTTTAGGATGAAAAGTGAGGAATTCATGATGAGGAGAACTGCTAGAAAAAGGACTTGTCCCTCAAGGAAATGGTGGAAGTGTTCAGAATGTTTAAAAATACACTTGACAGAACACTGTAAAATATACAATAGGGAACAATTATGCATCAGCAGGGAACTGGTCTGAATAATGTATTATAATAAGTCATTTCCATTTCCACTTTCTGTGATTCTCCCAAAAATCAACACTTAAATTTGCAGTTATTTGTATAAAGGAAATGCTGCAGAAAACCCTAGGGATGCATATATAAGTAAAAGGAGAGGCTAGAATTACTGCACAGCAAGCCAAGAGAGAGAAAAGAACGGCTTGAGAAGTGAGGAGTGGTGAAGACGGCCAGAAATTCTATCCTCTACACCATGAGAAAAATTTGTCTGTGGCCGCAAAAGAAAAATGGTGAGACAACTATTACAGATCGACAAGACCTTAAATTATAAGACTGCAATTTAAAATCTGCAAGACTGAAAAGCTGAGGCCTTCAATAGGTCAACATTCGCCTTCCTCCTTCCCTTCCTTAAAAAAACCAAACCAAACCAAACCAAACCAAACCAAACCAAACCAAACCAAACCAAACAAGTTTTTGATTATTTTTGAATTCACCCAAACCTACAAACCACTTCTAGCCTTGCTAAGATTGAGACCTCACTCCAAACTTCAGTTTATGAAGTATTTTCCTAAACTTAATTTGAATTTGCAAGCTTCTGATTTATGTGCTATCCCTTTGGTCTTCCGATAACAGCAGATAGCAAACCCCAAAAGGGGAGTAAGGAGAAAGGTAAGGAGGAAGGCAGAAGAAATTTCCCATCTTGAGTATTTTCATTCTCCAAAATGTGTTTTTGTTCCTGTTTATAGCTGACAGCCAGGCCAGCTCAGAGGGCACAGCCGGGGGGGGGTCTCAGCCCCAGGCAGGGACAGAGCTACTGAGTGTGTGTGCGGGATGGCAGCTTGGCCTGCTCAGCTGGAACTCTACACAGCCCAGATGAGATTTGCAATGTGCTTTTATTTCAATGGATGAATCATATTTTGGTCTGCAGTCAATTTTAAAAGCCAGTACAATGCTGCAATCATCTTTGCATTTGAAACTCTGAAGTGGAACGTTTGGTCTTATTTTAAAAACGGTTTCCATTGGAATTTAAAGAACACAAGTGGGAAAACATTTCTGCTAGCGTACTCACAAGTGCTGTGTCAGGAAGTTCAAAAATGAGCACTTACAGTAACCTGAGGAATGCACATTCCCAAGCCAACTTGGCTTTATGGGTGGGGGCTGGACCCCCCCTGCATCCAAGCCTGCAGATGTACTGGACAATAAATATACTCGAAGGGGAACAGGTGACACTCCAGCAGAACTCCCTCAATGCTACGCTAAGCAGCAGCCTTAAATCCTCTCTCTGCCATGTAGGAAGCACAGGCTGATGGGGAGGCAGTGAATCAGACCTCCTGCCAGAGCCAGCCTGCATCGCTCTTCATGCAAAAGCTTGGGCTTTCCATTAGATCAGAGGTTACATGTGATCTTAGCTACTGCATCTGCTCTTCATGGACCCCCTGCCATCAAAGGCGTGGGTGTCAAATAAAATAAAATAAAATAAAAACCAAGAATAATTCTGGATGGCCTCATAATGCCTGTTTTTGCAAATGTGTCGTTGGCGGAAGCTGAAGAAATTCCATGCATAACAGATATTTACTGAGAAATTTCTCTCCCTTGAAACAACCAAGCACCACAACCTCCTCTTTGAAAGTAAACAAACAAACAAATAGAAAAAAGATTTTTCAAGAATGCCCAGAGCACAGTGGTCAGGAAATGAGGCAATTTTGTATCTGGATTACATTACCTGAAACAAAGCAAATAAAGATTTAAAAAAAATATTTATAAAAGCAGCTTATGAGATTACATTAAAAACAATTGCACCCACTATTATTTAAGTGGAAATGGCCAAAGCTCTGTTTGCAAAAACTAACAGTTAGCAGATGCTTTTTTGCAAAATGTAGGATGAGCATTGAATAAAAAAAGGGTTTTTTTACAGTAATTTCCAGTCTATTTACACAAAATCTTACACGCAAACTCAAGGAGCAACTAGGTTATTTTAAGGGCACTTACTAAAGAGTTCAGATTTATTCTATTGATTTATTCACTTTGATTTGAAATTCCTTTACCTGGCAGTAGCATAACTGCAATCAAGCTGCCCAACTACAAAACACGAATGAAGCAGTTTGGTACAACCATAATAAAACTGAGCTAACATTTCAATAACCTAATAAATGTCCTCCTCCTACAAACTGACTTGCCAGTGGACTTGGTTGGAGAGAAAGACTGAGGAAGCCCAACCATTGGGTCTTTAGCTCCCAGGCAGGCAAATACTCCCAACATACAGGCATTGCTCTGATGGAAGTCTGACGATACTAACTGCTAATTAATACACTAAGAATACTTAATTTTAAATGGCCTATTTCCTTCTATTTAATTCTTAAATGTTTATTTCTTGTATGTTTCAGAAATTAGGCTAAAAATAACACAGCTACTGACAGAGGAGCCAAGTTCTTTGGATAAAGTTTTGTGTTTCAGCCACTGTGCAATATACTCTCGCACAAAAAAGTGATAGCTTAATGTCCAAGATCCTGAGTTTTATGCTCTGTTCAAAGCTAATAACAAAATCCTTGTCCCAAATAAATTACATATGGTTTCATAACAGTATAGAAAACTTCATTTCTACACAATGTTCAAAGCAGTAAACCATCATGAAGCAGTAACCTCAATTCTGTCACCAGCGCACGAGTAACTATTTAAAATTCATGTTGGTGCAGTTTTAAAGGATAATTTCCCTGTTTTGTTCAAAGGTTCATAAACCAGACTGTCATCAAATTACCTGTTAGAAGCATTTCTAAATTCTAGACAATTTTTTTGCCTTACAGCTAAACAATGTATTTCTTAGAAGTACACTAATGGGAGGTGAGGGATGAAAAGCACAACTAGATCCAGACTATTCCCAGCCTTTCTTTACCCTAAAGCTTTTTTCTGGAGCTAATGTCAATTGAAAAATAAGACCTTCCTAATTTCACAACAGAATTTTGTATTTGCTTCTGCCTTGAAAAAATTTGAGAGTTGTTTCAGAAGTGAAGATTTTTTCTTTTATAAAAGCTGTGGGAAATTATAGCACAGTATTTCTGAAGACCTGAATCTACTCCTGTTAAACTAACAGTAGTCAAGTCTTCAGAATTTCACAAGAAGATTGATACAAACAATTTTTCCAAATGCTTTAAAACATTCCTAAAATACCCTTATGCAGTGTATAGGGTATATAAATATACATAGAATGATTTGAAATGGTAGAGATTTTAGTAGCATGCTTAAAATGTAGCATAAATATTTCATATATAGCTTAACTATGTAAGTTTAACCATATTAGTGGAAGTAATGAGAAACTACCCCTATAGGAGTGCCAATAAAATTTTATAACATGCAGTGTATTTTTTTCTTTTGCATAGGCAAGCCTCAATTTTTAGGTTGTGATGAAAATTTGCAGTATTACGGGCCTGAATTTCTGAGCTGCTGCTGTGCTGTTGTCTAATCTCCTTCATAGGATGGAATGCTCACAATGTTTTCATCAGGCAGATGGTTTGGTTGGTTGCTTTTTTGTTTTGTTCTGAAGGGGGAATATGCTCCCTCAGTTAATCCAGTTAAAATATATCTTTTATGTTCAGCTTGTGTCCTCTTTCCCACTCTACACTAGATAAAGTAGAGTTAATTTCATGAGCACATACACACAAAAGAGCAGTCTTCTAGAGAAGGATTTCTAGTAGTATTTCTAACTGGAAATACTGTTTAGCAACATTCACCATAAATGAGACATAATTTCTGTCTTCTTCTCACTTTCCAGTCCTTGATAAACAGAGAAATACAGGAATATAGTGCATATCTTTTGTACAGAAGGAAAGAAGCTAACATAGTTCCTTAAAATAAACTTCATATTGCTCGTCATATGGATGATATACCTCTTTCAGAAAAAACTGTTGGCAAATAGTCACAATGTCAAAAAAGATTGGTATGAATGATGAAACCAACTGCAGCAGTGCAGAAAATGCCTCAAAGAGCTCCTGATTCTGTATTATATGGTATGAAAAATATAGTGTGTGTAGTCTGTATTCACATACAGACATTTATATAAAACGCACGTAGTTCATGGCTATTTTTGCTCAAATACACGTTAGAAATGAAAAATAAAGATTTCCAAAACTAACATCTCACTACAGTGGTATGACGGCATTAACCCTAAACAATGCAATTACAAGCATAGCAGGTCTTGCTAAACAAGAGGCAATAAAAACCTATTTTGCTGTGTGAATTAGTGTGTGACTTGAAATGTGGCCTAATTTCATTAATTTATTGATACATTTAGGATGGCATTTTTAGGTACTAGAACTTTGGCACTCATCTCTCAAACTCTTGAAAAGTACACTAAGCAAGCATAGGATTCTGTGTGATACAGGAGTAAGGTATTTATTACTGCCCAAAAAGGCAACAGGATGAGACCAGAACGTCTGCCTTCATATAATGTCTGAGTCCTGCCTCCACACTATTTCACATTTGCCTGGTGTGGAGATGTAAAGCCAAAGGAAAGGGTAAGACCCACGTATGGCTAATGCAACTGAGCAACCGGTGACTGTGGAGCTCTCAGGCTGTTATGTTCCTCCTATCTTCATTATTTAAACTTCTTGCCATGTTTCTGTGCTTTCTGATCCACTTTAAATTTATAGGAAGACTTTCTTAGAGTTTGTGTTTTCTAGAATTGCTCCCTCACACATGAAGATGGTGAAGGACTTCACAAGTTAATTGCAGGAGCAGAATGGACAGAACTTTGCCCAGTAGATTCGTAACATGGTGGCAGCTTGTACAAGGTCACACTTAAATGCCTCAGACATGAGAAGTGAAGAAGTCCTGTTGCATCTAAAACACTAACTTAATGAAGCTGTAATCTTAAACTTAGACCTACTCCAACCTAAATTTCAGGCTTTGCTTTGTGAATTCTTTTCATATTAAGTGCTACAACAACCACATTTTACACAGCATTTAACAAATACGGGAATCTGGAGTAAATCAAATTCACGACACAGTGGTATTTCTTTCAAGACAGGACAGGAACAGCAGAGAAAGATGAAAACAGAAGAATGATAAAAAGATGTAGTAGAGAACAAATCTTCTCCCTATTTCAAGTATCTTCTCTCCCACTCTCTAAACTTCATCACTGTTTAATCCCTCTTAAATGTTCCACTACATTTCAGATTTCGGAAAGAAGTTAATATAGCATCTTAGTCTTTTCCATGAGCACATTATTTTAATGCCAATTTAATGCCAAAAATATGCAATGTCATTCGGCAAAAATTTGATAAAGCTGCCCAAGAAAAAAGTATACTACTTTCCACAACAACTAGAAATATCTACAGCTCTCATTCAGTGAGCAATTTGAAATCCCATACCATTCTGGCTGTGTGTTCATCTGGATCCCTACATACTCATTTACACTTTTTTGGGGTAACACACTATAATGATGTATCTCATTAAATCCTTATACCCAGTACTGGCTGCTGGATAAATGAATTGCAATAATGTGATTTGTCTCTTCAGCAGTACAGATAAAGCAGGCAAAGAATATTTCAGAATATTTTCTACAGAACATGATTTTGATATTTCTCATTATAAGCTTCGCATATGAAATGAAAAAAAAAAGCCATTTATTAAGAGAAAGGAAAACACCATTGCTCAGTTGAATGAAAACTTAAAATACATGACATCACTTGATCCTGTGTGAAAGATCACTTTAATTTTCTTACAGTTTATGTTCAAAACACCTGGTGCTTCTATAATGTTTATCTTTACATTTTATCAGTAAGCTAATGTAGGAAAATATTGTGACATTGAGTCATAAAAAATGCTTTTTATGAAATTACCTTGGCTTACAACTCTTACTTCCTCAGAAAACTTTGAGAAGTTAGAGCAATGCAACAATTCCTGTCACAATCTGGTAATGAGAAAGTAATACTAAGAAACAGGAAGAACTGGTTGCTAAAAGTTTAGATCTTAACTAATTTCAAACATTTTACACACTTAACTTGATTCAGCTGTGAGGTGTAATCCTAAAAATATGTAAATGTAGTGACTGATATTTAAAGACATCTTAAAAGTCTCTCAGCTGGTTTCCACCACCCTAGTAACTTTGAGACGTGCAACGATTTTCACAGTTATAACCAGGAGTGAATGTTAAATGGTCTCACCTGTACACTTGTAGTCTGAGGCGACTCCTTTAAGGCCAGCATCGAAAACTGATATTTCTACTTTTTGCTTTCTGTGGTGGCAGCTCAGGAGCACAGAGGGTTGCGATACAATGAGGTAGAGAAATGGCTGGAGCTCTATGTCCCCGGTTCCCCTGCGACCAGGCTGCCGTACAATAGTTATACCCAGGGCTTGTCGCGCAGATGATCTTGTGGAAGCGTGGAGACTTTCCAGTGACAAAAGACCTGTTTTTCTCCCAGTAGATGGGGGAGCGTTACTGTTCAAAAGATCATCTGCTGTGACAGATGAGATGCATGGCTGACTGGGCTTCTTGGTATCATGGCTGCTGCCTGAGCCTGTTTCTGGAAGGTTCAAGGAGCTTTTGCTTATCTTCTCACCATCTTTCTGATCTTGCACTGATTTTGAATTTGGTAAGGCAGTGCATGAGTAAGTCATCAAGGAGATTCGACTTGCTGTAACAAAAATGTCAAAGGGAATGAAATTGAGATTCTTCACGATGGAAGACTGGCGGGAAGGACGAGCAATGCGGTGCTGGCTGGTACCACTATGCTGCTCGATCTGAATGATTCTGATCTTAACACTGTCACTGCCGATTCCACTGTCCTGTGCTCCACTATAACGGGAAGAAGTCTCAACTGTTCCTCCATCAGCCACATCCATTTTTTTCTGCTCTTGTTTGGAAACCTGCAAAGGAAAGTATTATATTAGCTTCTGATATCCATATGCCAACTATTTCCATTTCAGTCACAGCAAACAATCACTATACAAACATGATGTCAAAAAAGAGACTTATAAAAAAAAAAATCTGCCAAGTTAACTTTAACACGGTAATCATTTGTGAAAACACAGCAGGTGTCTGTTCCAACGAAATGATGACTCACAATAGCTGAAGTGCCAAAAGAATATGTGAAAGAAAAAGCAAAAAAACAGGCAGTAATGATTTCTAGGCTTAAAAACATTCACTTAATTTAAACTCTTTCTGTGAACTTTACAGAATCTACAAGAAATTTATGGCTTATACAAAACCAAATATCTGTGATATAATGTATGGTAAATAAAAAGCCTAGGTAGAACTGTTTTCCAGTTTTGAGTACTAACGCTAAAAAAGTCATCTTTGTCACTAAAATATTTTACTGTGATTAGATGAAATAGAACACAATATTAATCTACTGCATAATCACAACAAGATTAAATGGAAATTATTAGTTGAAATGTATAAATATTGTGTTGTAGAAAAATATTTCTCTGGAGTGTCATGGAGATACAGCTGCCTTATATAAAACATCAAAGTTACAGGAAACATCAGCACTACCTAAAGACTAGTTCTGTGATGGCCTATGAGTTCTCAGCTTACTGAGGCTACACATGGTGTTGTCTGTGATTTTCACAGGGTTTCACATAAGAAGTCACTGCATATAGAAATATTTCAAAAAGGAAACATACACTACCGATATAAAAAAAGGGTTCCTTCTATCAAATGAAATGCAAGAGTGAAACGAAAAGTTGAAATGCTGTGACCAGAGACTACATAGTTTTGAATCAGAAGACAGAGATACCCCAAGATAAAGAAATACTTCAAGAAAAATCACTTTCAACATTGCTCATGAAACAAATAGAAATTCTATCAGAGCTTGAGGACAAGGTGGGGAACATATACCAAAATTCTTGGCAAAAAAAAATCTGCAGAAATTCAATTATAATCATCATCATAATGATGTATGACCAATTCCTCAGATTCACATGCAGTTTAGAGTCATGCATTCACCCTGTATAGCTTCCATAGCATAACTAACGTGTCCATCTGTGCTGCCCAGAAGTGTTTCTGCTCTGCTCTGTACAGGAGCTGACATAAGAAATGTCCAACTCAGTAGGATTCCTGACCCATCCAGCCCAGTACGCTGCTTCCTATAGCACCAGGAGGAGACTGTTGAGAGAGACTGTGAACCCTGGCCACTTCCTGCAATCTGTTCCTCTCTTACTCCACAAGCATCCACAGCTGTTGCAAGTAGGATGCCAGTGGTACACGTCTGTGTGGTCGTTTCAGTAACCATTTCTGGACTTCTTGTCCATGAATTTGTCCTATTCCTTTTTGAATCACTGACAGTGTATGTCCTCCAAAATCTTCAGGGGCAGTAAGTTCCAATTTTTTATTTAAATTGCTTTAAACCATCTCCTCCTCATGACATTGCATTTCTCAGATCTTTGTAGTACATTAATTGAATAGGTCCACATTCAGCTTTATTAGTGTTGCTACGACTTTGTAAACTGTGATCACCGCCCCCCTCAGCCTTCTCCTCTCCAGACAGAGAAATCCCAGCCTTTTTAGTCTCTCCTCACAAAGAAGTTGCTCCAGTACCCTTAATCTTTTTAGCTTCCCTTCTCTACTTCTATAACTCCACTATGCACTTTTTGAGTACTCTACAAAGCATTCAAGAAGTGGAATCACTATGGTTTTATATAGTAATAAAATGACGCCTTCTGTCTTGTTCTCAGTCTCTACCCTAATGTCCAGCATTTTTGTTGGGTTTCTTTGGCTGACACTGCACATTGACTCGATGGTTTAGTTTCTTTGTTCCAGGACCTACTTCAATAGTTACTTCTTGTCTTCTCCACTCCCTAGCAAATCTTTGAAAACGGAGGTATAAACTAGGACAAACTGTACCTTAACCTCCTCTTCAAAATAGAATAATGAATTTCAGGTACTTACATAATTTATCAGCAACTTTACCATAAGAATGAAGGGCAGTGAATTACTGACTTTCTTCAAATTTCCTCAGCCTTTATGCAGCAATATTAATAGAAATGTAGTTATAGGGGAGGTGAAGAAAAGCAGTTAAGGTTCCTTTGTGCTTTATAGAACAAAGGCAGCAATCATCTCTCCTTTTCTTTAAAGGAATGAATATACTAGAAAAAGTATTACAGAGGAAATCCTAAAACAGAACCATTAACTAGCTGAGATTTTCTTTGAAAAGTTTTTTGCCAGCTCTGGTTACAATCTTTTCAGATTCACTCATGTACATATTTTTCAAATAACCAATAAAATTCTTTGCGGCTGTTTTCTATGGCAGACTCATATCACTGACTTGTAAATGTGATACCACTTTTAATGCAGCCTCTGTAAAAATAACTAGAGACCATTTTAATGAATCACTACATTGTGAGCCAAGAAATCCTCATTCCTCCTGATATCCTAGCAAAGTTAGGCTATTTACACCTCAGCCTCTCTGCCTGGTAAACTATAAAGTTTACCATATCCTGCACTGACGGCCCTTTCAAAATTGGTACAGATGGTTTTATTGCTTATGTATTGAAGGCAAGCAGAAGGCAGAAAGGATGGAGCAGTGAAATAATCTTGCCTATCATTTCATGGAAATGCTGCCTGAAATGAAGTTGAGGACATACACTGCTAAACCCAGCAATTTTTAATTGCTACATATACATCAGTTGAGTCTGATGAAAAATGTTTTAGAAAGCATGATTCTGTAGTGAATGACACTCTTATGGTTACTACATGGTATTCTCTTGTTCTCTGCTATGCAGCAGAAATTTCTGCAGCTACCTGAAACTTAGATTATGCATGACTTGGCTAGAGGAAATGAAAACACAGTGTCATCCACTAAACGATAACCTTCCAGGGAGAAAAGCATTGCATGTGTGTGACCAAGTGGAGGAAGAAAGCACAGTTCTTCTGTTTTCTGAATGGATCCACTCTTCCCACACCTAAATAGATTTGAATTGAAGCCTAGTTCTTTTCTTCTACCTCTTTTTATGATTAGGTAGTTATCAAATATGCTGGTCTATGCAAAGCACCTCAAGGAAGGTAAGAAAGTAGCTCTGCCTCCACCCCCAGTCAGACTATAGTTTCTCTGTGCAGACTGCTGCAAGGGTGCTAATTGGTCCCAACTGCTGAGTTTCCTGTTACGCGGACATTCGACTACAGAAACTTTACTGAGACCCCAAATCAATTCACGCAGGTCACTGAACAGCATTCAAATGGCAGTTTCTGCTCAGTACTAAGCAGTATGGAATATGAACCAGTGCCCGAAAGGTGAAAGACACCATATCCTATTACAGTTTTCCATGCCACCCGGTTCCACAATGAAACTCTGACTTACGTACGGTCTTACCACATATATTATAAAGCTTGAAACAAGTGAGTAATGATTTGCAAGACAGCTTTATATAACAAAAGTGGGTACAAAATAAAAGTGCAGAAGTATCACAGGAACTTCTTGCATCAATTTCAGCTCAGTGAGCATCAAGCCTTCCAACCAAGTTTCACAGTTAACCTGAAAATACACTTAGTAATGAATTTGGGAAGCATTTGAGTATTCCTCTAATGGGATAAGGAGATGAGAGGGCACGACTATCAGTACAACAACTCTAAAAAATTCTCTTTGCTGTATTATGGAGTAAATAGGCCAATACTTTAAAGATGTCAAGAACAGCAATATCATCTTGCTGTTAGTAAATGTAATGGTAACATTTATCATTGGGCTGTATTTTATCAATTCTCTTACTCTTTACATAACCCATTTAAAACGAACAATAAAAGTTTTCTTTAATTAGCTACTGGTGTGCATAAACATGATCATGATTAAACCATAAAAACCAACCGTACATTACTTTGGTCCCCTGTCCCATGTGTTTTAAATTATTTTAGTTGAAAATGTACTTTGAGTCCCTTTTAAAAGTTCGACCTTCTGCTTTCAGAGAATTAAATGCATATTACTATAGTGGAGAAGATAATGTTTCAGACCTCCAGGCATATATTAAACACACTGGCAGCACATTAGACAAAATGCTTTACTTATTAGATACTTCCTATTCTAAACAGTGTCATCAAAGGCTAAAAACAAAATCCATATAAAAGCTGCACAATGCTTCCACACAGAACCTGTGCCAAAATCCCTGTACTTTCCAGCTAATGAGGAAAGGATGTGTACTCTTAACATATGAATGTAAGATTTTCCAAGCATTCACTTTAGGAAACAGGACTATTGATTCCACATGGCTTATGTTAAATGAAACTGTATTGGTAAAATAACCTTTAAGATATTTGGCATGATAACTATAATTAAACAGTATTCAAAGGAATAAAACAAAAGGGAATTTGGTTCCACAATGGCTAATTAAAATAAAATGAAAAAACACAGCATGTCATCTATCAAGATAAATTGTTATTGTTTAAGAACTATTTAAATACTGTTAAAATATACTTTTAGATAAAATCTGAAAGGACTGGAAAAATATTTGTGGCTTAAAAATGGATAGTTTGGTGAAGAAAAAAGTATAGGAGGCTGAAATTTTATGCTGAGATAATAGCTTTAAAGCTTTGAGCATAACCAGATGGTACTTAAATCAGAGGAATTCTACAGCCTCACTGTCAGGATGAGTTGCAATATGAAAAGGTTTTCAATAGCTAGAAAAAACATGTCAAGACGATAGTTTGCTTCTCAGATCACTTTAGTGCACTTTCTCCTTCTTTCACAGTTATATATCCTATCAATACCACACACCATAGAAAAGGCGTTGAAAGCTACACTAGTAGTTGGGGAACTGTGGTTAATTCTTCCTTTTCATGTGTTGAGATAGGTAACTTGACTAGCTTAACCCCTTGAGGTCAGTAGGGCATATGACACATATATCTACCGAGAGATAGGGCATGGAAATGGCATGTCCTG